TCTTCGGAGGATCTCTTTAAGATGCCCTTTGCTAAGGAGGTAGCTGATCTCATTTCTTAGGGCTATGCAAGCCTCCGTCGTGTGACCGAAATCTTCGTGGTAAGCATACCATTTTCCTTTCCAACTGGTGGACTTTTTATCCATCTTTGGCCGCCTTGCTTTGTCCCCGACATCCCGCATAACATAGATGAAACCTGATACATCCATAGAAAAACAATAGTCACTTAGTCAGTGATCTTAGGAGGTTCCTCTTCCTCTCCTTCATCTTCGATGACATTAACCCTGTGATGATATGGTTTTGAATAGGGATTTGATTTATAGGATCTTGGAGTCGAGGATTTGGCCTTCCTATTAGGATTCTCGTATTGACTTAAAGGGTTGCTCCTTTTCTAGACTTCTTTGTCCTCTTCAAGCCTTATGAACCTCAATGCTCAACGGCTAACTATTTCCAATCTCTTGCATGGAGTCATCACGAGATCTTCATAGAATGGCGAATCCTTCCTTAGACCCATCTTGAAAGCCTCCACAATAGTATCCTTGTCAATGTTGGGGATACTCAGAGCTTCCCTGCCAAACCAGTTAACAGAATCCCCAAGTCATTACTTAGGATCTTGAACCACCCGATAGAGATCACTAGTGATCTTCTCGAAGGTTCTGCTACAAGAAAATTGGTTATTGAAAATATTGATTAAATGTGCAAATGAAGTAATAGAATAGGAAGGAACGTTTAGCAACCATTTAAAATTTGATCCCGTAAGGGTCGAACCAAAGCCTTTGCATAGGCAAGCTTCATTCAAGTGCACTGGGATGCGAATGATCTCCATCCTTTCTCAGTATTGTGTTGCATGCTCTTCAGGATCCAAAGTTCTATCGTAAGGCTTCATGCTAGGAGTCTGGAAGCACTTAGGAACTTCGGTATCGGCTGTCGCAGGAAAAAAATCTCAAGATCTTGTAACTTGTTGGAAATGCTTCTGGTATGGGTTGATCTACCCTGGGTACGCTTAAGATCATCTGTCTTAACTGTTGAAGTTACCCAGCCATGTTTGGACTTATTCTTGCATCAACATTCATAAAGTTAGTATTAATAGTATTACTGTTTAAGAAGTTACTAGAATCAAGGTTTCTAGGAGTATTGATAGGCTCATCGGGACCATTGATCACACATGCTCGATTGTTCGTAGTCGTCCCTCGGGAGATGCAGCAGTAGTGAGAGTTGTGATCCCCTGTTGATTTCCTTAGGATCCTGCATTGTCGAAGTTCAGGATCCTTCATTGTACAACTGTGGGCATCATTACCTGGGATCTCTGAAATTCCGCATTCATCCTCTCCACTTCTCTAAGTAGTGTTCTATTGTTGTCTTGCTGCTGAGTCATCTGTTGCGTCATTTTCCTCATCGTAGCGAAGAGTTCAACAGCAATGACCGGAGCAGTTGGATCCTGGAGTTCTGGAGATCCCAAACTTCCTTGGTTAGTGATCGGAGGGGTGTTTCTCTTTGAAGTATCAGGCACTTTCCTCTGACCAGGGGTCCACTCGGAGAAGGTGGTAGGTTTTTGGTTGGAATGGAAGGAACGGTGGATGAAGAAAGCATCGGTTGTGTAGACATGATCTTTTAAGGATTTTGAACACCACGGCCCCACGGTGGGCGCTAATTTGTTTTGGTAAAAAAATTACACAAGTATAAATCAACCAAATTGAATGAGAGGTTGTGATGTTCGAATTGTGCAATAGAGAAAGGTAAAGAGAATTACATGATTGTTTAAAAGGAAGGCCCTTGATCCTTGCTAGGATCTCCGCCACAAAACCTTGGGAGGTGATAATGATCACCTTCTTTGATGATTTTATTAATACAAAATTATGATTACAGAGAGTATTTCAGTAAGAACAAGTGAAAAAGTTTGTAGAGTAAGTAGAGTGTGTCGTGTGTGAAATACATGTGTCAATGTATAGTCTAAACTAGCTAACAAGATGTCTGATATTCCCGGGATCCTCTTTGACCAACTTTGTGAACATTGTATGACTTGGTATTCCGGGTCTTTAGCATAGTTGAGATGACTTTCTGTTGAGAATAAATCTTCTCTTAACTATTTCTGCATATGTGTTAATTAAGAACAAAATATAACATTTATAAATGTTAGTAAATAATAATAACAGTAATAATCGGAATCCTGGGATAGTTGAGCATCCTGAATATCTGATGAGGTTTGAGGATCATGAATGCTTTGAGGATCCTGATCCTAACAATTGTCCCTAAATTATTCCTGAAAAATATAAGAGTTAATTTCAAGAATATTAAATGGATTAATTAAATTAAAAAGGTAAAAATAAAGAGAGAAAATATTACACTAGTCAATATAAGATTTATATACGTATCGGGTAAAAAATTTTAAACATAAATCAAATATCTTATATCTATTATTTTATCCATCTTTCTACTTATTAAACCAAGACATGTCAAAATCAAGAAATATGAGTTTGAGATATTATCATAAATTTTGTGTTATTATTTCATTAAATAAAAAAATAAATAGAAATGAAAGATAAGAATATATATATATATATATATATATATATATATATATATATATATATATATATATATATATATATATATATATAAAGTCTTATTTTAAAGGAAGGTGTTGTTTTTATTTTATTTTGTTTGAGAGGAACAAGGTATCAAAGGGGTGGGAGCCCACTTGTATGTTTTGAATGGGGGTGGAGGCCTGGCCTGTGGCTGTGTGGAGCATTTAATTGTGTGTGTTGTAGCGTACCAGACTCCACTGTACTCTCCCTTTTACAAGCGACAGGACTCCATCAGAGATGGTAAATGCTCTGAGCAGGCGAGATCTTGACCCTACATTTCTATGTTGGTCCCTTTTCATCTAAAAGGAAAACCTCACTGATTTACCCTCTATTTGATGAGACGTTGCCACGTCGGTTGGAGTTTAGTGCACCCGGGACCACCACCAAGATCCCGGATCTCCTAGTGCCAGCCGTAAATTTAAACACCATCCATATTCATTATTCCATGCTAAAAAGCAAATATAAATAATAAATAATATAATTTGACGTTTACTATATTAAATCTCTTTCAATAAAAATAGACATTTAAATATGTTCTTTTTAAATTAAACTTCGTTGAATTACGTTTTCTAGCTTGATGTTTGGGAGTATTTTATAACAACTTATAATACTTATTTTGAATTATTAAATTTTCATTTTTTGGAATAGTTAAAATATAATATACATTGTAATTTAAATTTTTAAGACAAGCTAGAAGCATTTTTGTTGTTAAAAGAGTTACAAACCGTACCTATAAACCAAAATTTCAAATTTTGTACTTGATTATTTATTTAACTGATGATTTAAGAAGGCATTATCTAAATATGAATTAAATGAAAATATATTTATTTTATGTATAGTTTATCATTTATTCAAAAATGTTTGAATATTGAGTGTTTATTTTCCTCAAAGTCTAATATATAATCATATGACTGAATATGGTATATTCTTTACCTATGGTTCCACGAAAGGCATATTTACGTGGTTTTATGTGGCTTAAACATTGTGTTGCCACAAATGACTTTTAAGGGATCATTGATATGTATAAACTTCATTGCTAAAGTTGGATGGTCGGTACGTAGAGGAAGCATTCTTCAATTTTTATCTCCAAAAGCTAAGGTGTGTGTGAGAATTTTCCATCATTTTTTTAAATAAAAATAATTGAATTTGATGATATATATATATATATATATATATATATATATATATATATATATATATATATATATATATATATGTGTGTGTGTGTGTGTGTGTATGCGTGCGCGCGCGCTCGCTTAGGTTATTATATTCAAAGTAATTATTGTATTATTGTATCCATAAATGTGGGCCAATCATTTTACTTATTTTAAAAAATTAATTAATACATATTATTGAATTAAAAATAATCGAAAAATATCATCTAATTTAACTAGAAAGGTATTTTACTCAATTAATATAGATTTAATAAATAAAGTTTGTATATTTTAAGGGATTATAGATTCTATTAATTTTAAAAATCCGATTTTACAAGTTATAAGATTTTTAATTCGGACGCTCTGATTGAATATGTTTGAGTATGTTCAAAAATAAAAATATTCTAGAACAATAAAATAATAAAAATATTCTTTAACATATTTCTTGATCATGATTTTAAAAAATTCTTGTAGAATAACAAATTCTCAAACCATCAATTGAAGAATTAAAACAAAAGTTATATTAATTCTTATAGAATACATGTAACAATTGCTAAGAGTTAAATTTATTGTTAAAGGATAAAGCTAAAAACTTACAAATCGGGAAAAAAAAAATCAAACTCTAACAAATACACTAATTAATTATAAAATAATAATGTTGCTAAGAGGCGTCGTTCAAATATCGTGGTCCGTTCTTCAAGCATCAGCTTCTATGGAAACAAGTTCAATGAATAAATTAGTGAGAAAATATCCAACATAATTGGAATTCGTGATTCCATTCTGATAGAATTTGAATTCCTTTACCAATAGTTATATTAATTCGGGGCATTCTAATAGAATATGTTCATGATTATCATAAAAAAAAACATCATTTCTGATAAAATACTATAAACGAAGAAATACCATTCAGTTGAAACATTTTAGTGAGCGGTTGGTGTGCATCAAAACAACTTTCAATTTCCGGTAAAAATTAGACAATTAAAACAAATTCCCAATTCACCAAAACTATTACACATTGAAAGAATTAGATAATAAACCTAAACACACCCAAAATATCTTTGAAATTTGTCAAACAATCAACCCAAACATCCATTCTATATATTAAAATCAAATCATATTAAAAAAAATGAAGATAAACTTCATTGGTTTACAGTAAATTAGTCAAAATAAGAAGCAGAAGGAAGAAACCTGTTTGATGAGTTCAGGAGAATCTTTCCCAAAAAAAACCTGGTCAGCCATCATAGGACAACACCGACAATCGAATTAAGGATGAGGGTTGACTCCTTCGCATGGAATAGAATCAACCAGAGCAGCAACATCCGACAGTAAGGGAAAAAACGGCCGATCAACGTCACCGACGGGAACAAGAACCAGATTGGCCTCTATAGCCACAGGAGGAGAGTTCGAGATATCGACAGAAAGCGGTGGTCCAACAGCAGTGCTGTTTTCATAGAATTTCCATTTTAATTCTTCAAGACTTAACCCATTTTCAATAAAGGATGAATCGAAGAAGGTGAAACCTGATTCCACATCAACGTCGACGATCTTCAGAGCACCATCAGAATGCGATAATGGCATTTGGGGAGCCATTTCTCTGGATCGAGATCCTCTGGTGTATCGATAATATGTGGTAGTTTTAAAAAGCCGACGATGGATGGAGAAAACCTAGGTAGCTGAAGTCAATGGTTACCATAATTATAGGATATTATTTGTGGAAACTAATTATCAAATTACCTACTTACCCTTATCTATTTATTTATTTTTATTTTAATATTTGATTGGCCCATATTTATGCATACAATAACACAATAATTACTTTGAATACCTAAACCTAGCTATCTTTCTCTCTCTCTCTCACTCTCTCTTATATATATATATATATATATATATATATATATATATATATATATATATATATATATATATATATATATATATATATATATGGTTAGGTTAATTTAAAACAGCCTAATTTTGTGAGATCCTGAAACACAATCGTAGCCACCCATTTAGTAGATAAAAAATATAATTCTAAAATGCAAAATAATTGGAAATTTTTGAAAAAAAAAATTTCAAATATTATTTTAGAAATTTATATTTTCCAAAAAAAATACCAAAAAAATTAAAAAAAATACATTTTTTATATATTTTAGTAGAATATTAGAATATTCTAAAAATCACATTAAAATCTAGTAGAATATTCTAACATTCTAAAAATCACATTAAAATATTCTAACATTCTAAAAATCACATTAAAATATTTACAGTATAATATTCTATTAGAATATTTCAAGTGTTTAAAAAAAACGGTAATTTTTTTTTGGGTAATTAAAGTTTCGAAAATAATAATTAAAAAAAAGAATTTTTTATTTTGACTTTTAAAATTATTTTTATAGTCTCACGGTCTCACAAAATTAGTATTTTCTTAAATAAACCTCAACATATATATATATATATATATATATATATATATATATATATATATATATATATATATATATATATATATATATATATATAATTGCGTATTAAACATAAAAATTACTTAAAAATAAAAACCACTTCATTAATTTAAAATTACAATTAAAAAAATAATAAAAACAAAACAACTTAAAAAACCTAATTAATATCCGAATTTACAAAAATCAAAATACGTCACTCAGAATCATCATCCTCGTCATAGACACCATCGTCATCATTATTCTTGTAACACCCATAAAAATTCAAGCCAATTTAAGCTTTTAAAACATTTCAAATCCATTAAACATTAAAAACTTGTTTTCAAAATATATCATATCAGAGTATCCTAGAAACAAATTCATAAAAAGTGAGGAGTTGTATGATCATGCCTTTGCCTTGCCTCGATCCCCTGAAGTACCTAAAACAATAAACTAAAACTGTAAGCCCAAAAGCTTAGTGAGTTCCCCTAAAATACCGATACACATACAGTCCACATAACCATGTCAGCAACATCATAACATAACAAACTGACCAGAATGCAACGGGTCCACAGCTTTACAGACTGGATTACCCCCTGGGCCCACAGTGTGAGTCTAGATTGCCTTGCGGGCCCACAGCTCACATCTGGCTTGCCATCGAGCCCACAGTACGAATCTCCCTTAGCTCGTAACAAGAATGCTATCGGGTTTGTTGGTTACCGCATGAAACAGTCCCACCTCAACCCACCCCACATAACATGTCAACATATAACATAACCACTGAGCATGCAGACAATCATATAACACAGGTAGTCCTACAGATCTACCTAACTGGCATAACCACTGAGCATGCAATATTAACTTCATACTCAACATACTAACACTGCTAGGATAACATATTCAATGGGCCGGCCTTGGTGCCTTAGACCCCTTAGTATAGTGAGGATAACTCACCTTGCAAATGTCAGCTTCGTAACTAAACTCCAACTCTCAGATTACGGCCACAAACTCCACCACCTATTATCATAATAGAACCATACTCGTAAGCTCCCAACCTTTCAAGGTACCACGTAAGTCAACTACTCAACCCTGGTCAAAGTTAAAGTCAACAGTCAAGGTCAACAGTCCATGTTGACCCTTAGGTGCTGTTTGTTTTTTCGAAGTGAAAATGTCTTAAGTCTGCGGACCACCTCTGCAATCCTCTATAGCAGAAGAGGTGGAACAAAAGGCTGCAACATTTAATAAAAAGTCTATTTGTTTTTTAACGTCTGCAGACTGCTACAGTAAGTTAAAGTAAGGCGCGAAGAGGTTTGAAGAAGTTGGTTTAGTGTTGCGCCACGCAGCACACGTGCATTAGTTTTTAAGTCAGAAGTCTTCAGGAAAACAAACAGTTGTGAAACGACAAGTGATGCGTGTGTGCTACGCGGCGCAACAATAAGTGGTTTTAAAAAAAACAGCACCTTACTCGTTGAGTACCCTCAGCTACTCGCCGAGTTCCTCGAGATACCCGTCTACTCGCCTAGTGCCCGGAGTGACTCGTTCGAGTTCCTAAGGTTCACAATCGAAGCCCTAAGGCCACTCGTAGAGTTTTCCTTCTGGCAACTTGACAGGTTCACACACATTCATCAATTTGGGGAAACCTTAACCAAATCACCGAGTTGTTCATCCAACTCGTCGAGTCTACGACAATCTTCATCGGACTCGCCTAGTTGTTCATCCAACTCGTCGAGCTCAATGCCTTTCTTCATATGACTCACCGAGTCGAGTATGCGACTCGCCGAGTACCTTCAGCCCTTTAACCATGCAAACACTTTTCAAGCCATGCCAAGGCCCCAAATTGCATATCCAACTTCCTTAGGCATGCTTATCACGTAAAGTTGCAAACTTTACGTGCATGCAAGGCTTTAAGACCCTAAAATGGCACAACTAAGCTTGCAATGAAGTGACATCATTGAGAGAAGGATCATACTAGACAAGGTTGATGGCTTTATGAATCTAGAAGCCAATGGGAGTCCAGATCTGAAGTTACGACTTCAGATCTTGGCTTAAACACAAGAACCCATTGCTAAACTCATGCACAAAAAGGTTTAGGAGAAAATGATCCAAGGGAAAAACGATCTAATACCTTCAAGAGAGCCCTTTCTGACGCAGAACTTGAAATCCATAAACTCTTGCTTCAACTAGATTGCTTCCTAAGTGATTCCTTCACCAAAACTTCTCTCCAAGCTTAAACCGCCAAAGAATACACACACAGTCGAGTTAGGGCCTTTCTGGACTTTCAATGGACTGTAAAGAGGCCAAAGGAGACTTGTGCTTCTTTAAATATGGTGCAAAACCCCTTTATTTAGGGTTTCATCTGTCAGCTCCTACTCGTCGAGTCCTTTCTTGGAATCGGCGAGTAGGCCACTAAATTCGCGAACCAACCCGCTACTACTCGATGAGTAGGGTAACCAACTCGTCGAGTAGACCTTGGAAAAATAATTCTTATTTAAATCAATACCTGAGAATTGGGGCGTTACAGTTCTCAACAACATCATTCTCGCCCTCGTCATCCAAATCATTGCTCTTGACGAACATATCTGAATCCTCATCTGATTCGTCAAACAAATCATCGTGTCAATACTCTGTCGGTGGGTGAATGTGAGCCCTATAAATGTGCTCCACCAAATCAACATGAAGGGCGTGATGAATGTCGCAATCGTATACTTCTCTTCTATTTTCCATATACTCTTGCGTACCAACGGTTACTCCTTCAACATTTGGTAAACCTTTGTTTTCGTTGTATTGACATATCGCTCTTCTTTTGTCTTCAAGAATTATATTATGCAATATGATGCACACATACATTACGTGTTGCAAACTTTTCACTTCATATGATCGTTCCCCGATTGCTAGTACTTGCCAACGCATCTTGAGTACACCAAATGTTCGCTCCATGTCCTTCCTAGTTGAGTCTTGCACCTCTTTAAACTTTTTTTTTCGTCGTTTGGACATGGAAACAATTTCACAAAAACAGATAAGGGAGGAAATATACCATCAGTAAGATAGTACCCATGCTTATATGCTATATCGCTTGCTTGAAAAGGTACATCATGCAACTTCCCAAGGTAGATATCGTTGAACACCGGCGACTGGTCCAGAACATTGATGTCATTGTTTCCACCAGCTGGACCAAAGAACGCATGTCAATCCAAAGATCATGTGATGCGATTTCTTCTAGATCAATAATCGGCTCTTTGTGGTCGCCTCGTATGTACTGACTACGCCATGTATTAGGCACAACGCCCAAGCTCAAGGAATGTAATCAATGCTGCCTAGCATTCTTGGGAACACATGATTTCCTTCATGCATTGTGTACAACTAGTGGACATCGTTAAGAGTTGGTTTGCGTAAATTTCGTTGCGTGTACAACAAATTAATAGCTTTTGAGAACTTGTACACACATTCCCGTACGGTACGATCGGACATCCTTAAATACTCGCCCCATTTATTTGCGCCTAAGCCGTATGCTAACTAACGAATTGCAGCCATACATTTTTGAATTGGAGAGAAACCTTTTTTGCGTCTACCATCAAACTTCCATCGAAAATATGGAAAATGGCCTTCCAGATTGCTAACAATACGTAAGAATACCTCATTCGGAACCGCCATCGAAACTTTTCAGCGTACACGACATCATCTGGAAATTAGTCTTCTACAAGACGATTGTGCCCCACTTCGTAATTTCTACGTAACGGCGATTTTCTTGGTTTATTTTGAAAATATGCAACATTCTTTACCATGACGGAACTAAAAAATGATGTCTCCCCTTGAGCCATCGAATCGGATGATAAAGATGATGACATTGTGTTTCAGTGTTTTTAGAGAGAATATGTTGAAATGGGTTAAAAATAATGTTGGATTGAGTTGGTTTTCATAGTGGGGAAAGAAATAATAAAAAAATTATATATATATATATATATATATATATATATATATATATATATATATATATATATATATATATATTCATTTCCAATTTCTCACCATTAAAAAAATCAGCCAATAGGAACATGAGACAGAGTGCGGCACCCGGACCCTCCACCCCTTTCCCACATCAATGTTCCTGCACTCCCAGTGTGGTGTTCTAGTGAGCAGGAAAGGGCCCCGCTACCCTTCCCCCAACGCTCTGTTGGGTCTAATAAATTGTTTCGATAACAAGAACCACACATATCTAAAGAAAACTAATTCTTCCAATTTTTTAGGATACAAAATTAAAAATAATATATTTAAAATCAATCTTGTCCAACATTAATTTCTCTATATAGAGAATAGCTAAGTTGTTCAATATTTCTTGGGACACGGACGACCTTAAATAATTCTTCAATAACTTCAACTTTTAAAAACTCTTATCTGGATACAACAGGTAGAGAATAGTTAATAGGATTCTATATGCAATAAAATATTCGGGTAATACTCAGAATCTTTAACTAATTTTAAAATTTCAACTGCAAATTCTATATTATTCGGTAAAGTAATAAAAACATCATAAATCATATTGTTCACAAAGTAACACATTGGACTACAAAAAAAAAAACCAAGAATTACCCTTGTAATCAGTGAGCAACTTCCAAACAAACAAATATTAAAAGAAATTTGGTATTACCTTAATGAAATCAGACTCTCAATCTGTGATTTGTGGAATATAGAGTCGTATTTTCGTAAATCTAAAAGATCTTGTATGCTTAAAAATCTTTATAGTATGATATTGCTAATGAAATATGATCACATAGGGTCACATTTTATAACAAGTTACTACTAACTGGTTATTTATTAGTATAATTTTGATTATTAATAAATATCAACATTTGTATTGGAAAAACATTATTTTATGAAAATAATCTTTTCTAACCGATCAACAAATTATTGTTTCGAGGAAATAGTAATAAAAGAGGAAAAAAAACTAGGTTAATGTCATATGGTATGAATATTAATATTGTGTATAATTTTTTGGGCACATTGAGTAACCATTTAGTTAAGATGCAACTAGCTAGTTAGAGGTTAAGTATTAAACAAACCATATTTTGCCTTGGTTTGATGATGGGCGAAAGTTCTAACGCATGGAGTATGATTGTCTTTTGAATTGTTTAATACTTAAACTCATGCATGTAAGAAAGGCTTTCATTTTATGCCTTATTGTCTTGACTTTGTCAATGCTTGGATGCATAAAAGAAAGGTGTAATAAGCATGAAATATCTAGTTTTTCTCAAGTATTCTCCCATTATGTTGGCTGCCAAAATTTTGAGATTCATGTTCTCTCCTTTTCTTCTTTTGTCTAGCAAATGATTCTAGAAATGAAAACATATAAGATGCTTTCTATTAAGGATTATTCATATATATATTAATAGCTTAAAAGTAACTTATTTACAAGTGACGATTAACATCTTGAAGTGGTTTTTACCGTTGCTTTGGTGGATACATTATAGAGGACTTCTTCTTGGAGTTATAATGACATATTCATCAACTTCTTAATTGCAAAAAGGAGCCAAAGTCTTCAAAAGTTATTGCAACATCCCAAAAATTACAAACAAAATTTTCATTTTAAAAATAGATAAACCAATTAAACTTTTGTTAACGAACCATTGAATAGCATTTGGTTGATTGAAAGCCATACACTACTAGAGTTAAGTTTAAAAACCGTGAAAACGAATATCTTTGATGTTTGTGTACAGTTCTGTAGAGTTCTTCTCACGAATGGCCTACAAAATGTTTAATCTACAACTGTAAGCATAAATATTAGTGAGTTCCCCAGTATACCACATATTCCATCATACATACAATGCATCTACACAAAATCCTCGGCTCTAGCATCGACCCGCCAATACTCCTATCTATAAGCATAAATCATACATAACAACCATGCATGCCAAAACTGTAATATCTGAACTTTTAGGTATATTCTTGTGTGATTAATTTTGAGATTTATGGAGTGACTCGACAAGTTGTGAGTCCAACTCGTCGAGTAGAGTCGAGTTGTCCGCGTGGGATTAATGAATAGACTCGACGAGTCAGAGAGCCGACTCGATGAGTAGGTGTTGGGTAGAGAAACCCTAATTTCCCAAGGTTGGGGCCTATGTAAGGGAACTTATGCCCCCATTTCTGCCTCACCAGCTGCCTAACCCTTCTGTGTGAAACCCTAAATGAGTGTAGTGAGCTAAGAGAGTCTCCAAGATAACCTTGAGGGATTTTAGTGCATCTTTGAGGAGGAAGAGGGGTTTGTTCAGCAAGAAGCAAGAAGGAGCTGTTGGGGTTCAGCCCTTTTTGTCCAGAGCTTCAAGAGGAAGGTAAAAAGCATGAATCTTTCCCCTTTATTTGGTTAGATCTCATGAGTTGAGAAGTTAGGGTTTTCATCACATATTATTTGGTACTTCAAGAAAACTAAGTTATCTAGAGGTTTAAACCTCATATATGGACCTTGTAAGCTTCCTAGATCCTAAAAGTCCCAAATTTATTCATCCATATGAGGAGTATGGTGTTTAACACCATATGAGAACATCTATTGGCATATTGGAGCAAAACCACCATGCACGAGTGCAAAGATCGAAGCTTTACGTGTCAATCGAGCCTTAGGATGGTAGATCTAGTGTTTTGAGTGATAGATCTGCCTTAAATCGTCTGAATGAGAAATCATATCGAAGGGACTCACCGATTCCATGGCCTGACTCGACAAGTCAGTGAGGGTTTCTCCCGAAGAGCTTGATGATGCGATAACTCGACGAGTTGGGGGTCAACTCGACAAGCTAAGTTGGACCTTCGTGAGACTTCTGAGGAAACGAGTGGACTCGACGAGTCACTAGCGTGCACTCGACAAGTCGGGTTAAACATGGACTGTTGACTCGAGTTTGACTTCTGTTGACTTTAGGGTTGGGTCAATCATGGGTAATGGAGATGATAAAGGGGTAAAATGGTCTTTTATCCAGTTCAATAGTTAGAGAGAGAAAGAATAGCTTGTGTTTATTAGAGTCATGAAAAAGAGTATTAATTAGAGATATTCATTCTTTGTGATAGGCGGAGGCTAGTTCGAGATTCGGGTGTGCTTGCTTGCAAGGTGAGTCTTCTCACTATACTTACCATGAGTGGTATCTTTATGTAACTGAGATGTCCTATGTGCTTACATTGTGTATTGTGATATGCTGCATTATTTCTTTGTGATTTATGTTGTGTATTATTCAGAGCTTACAGAGTTGTGGGATCGGAGGGTTCCACACATTGACCGGAGGGTCTTACTGTGTTATAGCCTCGACTAGCTACAGAGCCGTGAGTGGTATTTTAGGGGAAGTCAGTAAGCATTGTGCTTACCATGTTATGTGTTATGTGTTTCAAGTTTTTCTCAGGATCATGGGAAGGCATTGGCTTGATTGTACATTCCAGCGAAAGAGTTATGTTTTAAGGATCCTGGATTTAAATCAAACAATTATGGAGTTGCGATTTGTAAATTAAATAAATGAGATTCTGTGAAATGTGTTATGAGAATTATGTAATTTTAAATGAAAATTTTATTTGAAAATTTACGGTGTTACAAGTTAGTATCAGAGCCTTCATTTAAGCGATTCGGATGCACCTTTGGGTATGTCTGGACTCAAACTGGGGATTTGAGAAAAAAATTCAAAAAAAATGATTTTTCTAAAATGAGCAAGAGTTTCTAAGAGAAAATGAGAAGGAGCAGTGTGTGCAATCAGCCAGACCCAAATGGTGATTTCCCAAAATACCCTTACTTATTTTTGTTATGAGTTATTATTAGGATATTAGGGATGCATGCTGGATGATAGGCTAGTTATTTCATATGTTAGGGCTAGAGTTGCATGATTTGTGATGCCTTAGCCTAGGAATTGTTACTTTCTATGATGTGCTTTGAGTATGTGTGGAGTAAGAGTATCCATCAGGAATCTTTTAGAGAGAGCCTTGAGTAGAGGATTAATCTAGGAGAGATACCTGCGAGAAGTGGGGTTGGCTTG